TTATTTATTTAAGAAGAATTTTAAAAGATAGCGTGAACCTGATACAGTACGGTAGAAAGGAGTGCAGGAGGGAGGCAGGGCATAGGCTGAGTCTGTGTGTGCAGTACCTGGAAGACAAGTACTGCAGCCAAAATGAAGAGAGAGCCATAGAAATGGTTGTCACATGGTGTCATGAAAGGAAGAGTCTCAGAAAGCACATGGAAGCAGCTCGCCCTGTTCAGCTGTACCGCGTTTGTACCACAACGTGTACCACAACAGCCCTGGAACCTCTGAGGTCCTCACAAGTTGGAGTTCAGCTAAGAGGAAGTATCCCATCTTTCTCACTCACTCCCCATTCTCTGCTGCCTTCTTTCACTTTCAGGGGAGGCTGGTTGAGTCATGGCTTTAAATAGACCAGTGCTGTTGAATACAGTGAACCCTCATCAGTTCTGTTCAGTGGACTCTTGCGCTTAAAACCATCTACTCACTGGATTTAAGCTGTCTCTACAACACACTCTCACTCTGATTTTTTTTCCCGAGTTGATTTAATCCTGGCACTTCATAAAATGTGTGTGTATCCATTAAAGCAGGAAGATTCTATTCATGTCCAAGAGAAACCACTGAACGGCTTGAATAAAACTGAAAGGCGGGCAAGCAGGCCCAGATCTGGCAGTGAAGATACACAGCTGGGCAGGTTTCAGGGGAGGAGCGCCCCATCCCCAAATCAGTTTCTAATCAAATGCCAGAACGAAGCATTGAAACCTGCCAAATCCCGACAGCCAGCACCACCACCGGCAGCCTCTATTTAAATCATTCCCTTTTATTGCCTCTGACTAGGTTGAGAACAATAGTAGAAATGGCCACTGATGGACGACGCTGACAATTTTGTGAGTTATCATATAAAATAAAATGCTGACCAGCATTCCTTTCCCTGTGGGGTTTATATTCACACTCCTCTTCACAGCCAGCAACCCCCGCCCCACCATCCACCCCATCTTTGCCATACCAGTCTCTCTGAGGGTGACCACACCCACAACCCACCCCCACCCCCACTCCCCGCCGTTGCTGCTGCTGATCACTTTGTGTTTTCAAAGGTTAAAAGTAGGAATAGCCAACTTAAGAAAACCGTTTGTATGTGTATGATTCTTCCCTACCTTCTTGCCTCTTTCATAAGGAAAACTCCGTGTGAGGGGCTTTGCTCAGACCGCGAAGAGCAGCGAAACAACACACTGGAGGCTAGAGAGTCCCTACAGAATTTTTGCCTCCAGCCCCCACAGACTTTTACTGGCTCTCTGGGAGGAAGTGAGCTAGGTGTGAGGAGATGACTAAGACAGTAATTGGCAAACATCTCCAATTCAGCAATCCTGGTTATCAGATGGGAAGTGTTCTGGAGGCACAGAGTGTTCCGAAAAAAAAAAAAAAATCCCCAGCGTTGCCCACTCAAAAAGTGGGAATCTTAGTAGACTGCTCAGTACAAATTAAAAGCAGTAGACGGTAATGAAAGGTTGGTTAAGGAAAACTGCAGATCCTTAAAGATAGGTGGAGATGGTGTCTCGTAAGTAAAATGAGCTACAGAAAGTCAAAGAGATGGGCCAAGATTATCCATTTATCACACAGAGTTCTTTCTTCTTCCCTATCTCCTTCCTTCTTTCCTTCCTTCCTTCCTTCCTTCCTTCCTTCCTTCCTTCTTCCTTCTTTCCTTCCTTCCCTCCTTTTACAGAGTCTTGCTATATAACCCAGGTTGATCTAGAACTCATGATCTTCCTGCCTCTGCCTTCCTAGGTCCTCTGCTTACATGTGCACCACCATAGTTGGAGCACAAGCCTTTCTGGATCCCTTTTTTCTATCAGTCAGAGTCCTGTGCTGACCATATGAAGATGGGCTACTATTTGTCTTTTAGCCCTTGAGTCTAATCTTCGTGCATGGAAACCCAAGGGATGGTTCCCTTAGATACTAACACAACATTCCAAGGCTGGGACAATTACATCTATACCTTCTTCCTTCATGCTGTATCATCCCGTGGTAGAAAGTGGAAAGATAAGGAAGAGCAATGAAAGATTGACAGGGACCTTCCTCACTGTTATAACAATCTGCTATTAAGGCAACTAACCCATTCTTATAATGATGGTAATACTGTATTATTGAAGGCAGAACACATGGCTGGATCATCTTTTGTTGGGCCCCATCTTAATGTTTATTGATGGTTAATTTTCCAGCTCAGGAACTCTGGAGAATACGTTCAAAATATAGTAGAATCCAATGTCTACTCTTAGGTTGAACAGAGATATTTCAAAGGCTGTTTAAAGGACAATTGGGAAATTTTGAATATGCAGTTGGCTTTATGTGATACTAAGAATTTATTATTATTGATAGATGTGAGATTTTGCTTATATAAAATAGAGAATGGTACTGTAAGTTTAATCCTTTTTTAAAGCACACACAAATACATTTAAAGTCTTTAAAGTTAAATATGCATCAAAAGTTAAGCAAAGTTCAGGGCTTGGTGTAGCCTGGTGGTAGACTACTTGCTTACCTAGTACGTTTTCAGAGAAAGAGGAAGGAAGAGGGCATGAAGAGGGAAAATCTTTAGATTTTGTGCTTTCAAATATGCTTTGAATACATTTAAAAAACAAATTAGCTATATAAAATGTGTTAGTAAATATGTCAGGCTGAGGCTAGAACGTTTGGCTGGCATGCATAGCATTCAATCTCAGCCATGCAAAAAAAAATTATTTTAATGTGTGTATTTTTAGAAATGTAACATAGCAGCAGCAGATATGAGAAATCTAGGCCCACCAGCCTGGAAGACAGTGCAGAGGTCAAAGTGCCTGCCCCTTAAAGCAACACGTGGGGACAGGAGACATGAAGTGGGAAGAGCCATCTTCCTTAAAACCTTTCAAGCTTAACATATGTAGGAATTATTTTGACAATATATCTCAGCTCAATACCTATTCAAGTCCCACCTCCCACTGTAACTAACAGTCTTAAAATCATACTTAATCCTTTCAAAGTTGACACCTATTTTACGTTGTTTCGAAATTGAGGAGGGAAGAAGAGAGGGAGAGAGGAGAGACTTCTTTTCAGGACTTCTTACTTACTTAGACAAGCATGCATACTAACATATTTTGGAAAGAAATTTTGTTTACACGATTGAACCTAAAAGGGATTGTGAACAGGAAAATTCAATTAACCACAGGATTCTCTAAGCATCCTGGTTAGCTAATAGGCTTGGTCAAATCTTAGTCAAAGTGAAAATACACATCTAAGTTAAGTGGTGTGGAGTGAGGGCAAAGGTCATAGTAAGCCATATTGAAAATGTTAAAGGGACAGTCTTAGGGGGCTTGATGGTCTGACCCTCACATAGGACATTAATGTGCAGTACCATGGAGAGGACACATGGGCTTTGAGAGTAAACAATATAGCCCTCCATCATGATGATAAACTAATATTCCTAATAAATGGGCTTAATAAGAATGTCCTACCTAAGAGAAAGCACTACCAGAAAGCATTTCTACATGTGTGACATGGCTTTGTTGTGGTTCTTGTATGGGTAGGTGACTTCTTAACATGTGTATTCATTAAACCTCTTTTGTATTAGATACAAAGAAGAAATGTGTAGTTTGATCTGAAATTAGTGTGTTACTTAATCAAGGATGAATGAAAGATTAAGAGCCTGGCAAGATGCCCCAGCAGGTTAAAGCACTTGCCCCCAAGCCTGACAGTCTGAGTGGAATCCCCAGATTGCACATGGCGGGAGAAGATAAGCCACTCCCCAATTTGTCTTCTGACCTTCACATGTGCACATGTGCCCACACAAAAATAAATAAAAATAAGAAAATAAATAAATAAATATAAAAAATATATAGCTATAAAGTAAAAGTGCATTACTTACTAGGAATATTCTCCCTGCGTGGTGAATGGAATGGTATATTAACACAGTCATAATTTGATGGGACAACATTGGCACATACTACTAATCCAATTAACTGAATGATTTTAATTCATTAATAAGCTTGATAGCCATTATTCTTTTTTTTAAAAAAAAAACAAACACTTTTTGCTTCTACATGCAGGCAATACAGTAGGGCCTGAGAGCACAGTAGTAAACAAGACAAACAACTCTCCACCACATGAAGTTTGGAATCTATGGGTGAAGAAGCTGTCTAACAAGAAATTGGGATAAAACATAATTTATGTTCTTGAGGGGGAAATAGATGAATATCTGGTGAGCATTTATCAAGGGATCTGGTCACGTCAGTAAAAACAACACCCCAGGCCCCTTGCAATGTTTTCGACGCCCTCACAGTATTTCCTCTGGGTTGATACAATGGGGATCTGAGTGGCTACATAGGATAGGGCTGTCACAGCTAAGTATATGTTCACCGCTGAGCATTCCTCCATTAATCTTGTAGTTTATGTTAGCTGGCTTTCCTGGTGAGCTTGTTATCCCAAAGGTGAGAGCCAGAAGGACATGGCACTATTGAGATGTCATAATTGTATGGATAGTCCCTTCAAAGAGGCAACAAGGTCTGACATGAGCTTGCTACTAACCTGAGTATAGACAATAAAATTACAACATCAAGCAATCCCACAGAGCTATTAAAATGAATCTGGAACACTTAGGTTTCCTCGAATTCAGTGGTTCTCAACTTTCCTGATGCTAACCCCTTAGTACAGTTTCTTATGTTCTGGTGACTTCCAACTATAAAATTATTTTTGTTGCTACTTCATAACTGTAGTTTTGCTACCGTTGTGAATCATACTGTAAATATTTGATATCCATATGGCCTGTGAAAAGGGCCTAATGGGGTTGTAGCCCACAGGTTGAGAACCAGTACTCTAATTGTTTAGATCTGTAGGATGGACAAGGCCTACAAAGCACTCTGTGAAATTCTAACTGTAAGCAAAACTTGCATTTATCCTGTGACCCAGGCTTTGTTTGTTTGTTTGTTTGTTTGTTTGTTTGTTTGTTTTAATCATATTCTGAAATGTTGGGGGTTTTGTTCTTTATTTCCCTCCAGAATGTCCTCATTGTTGAGGTAAGCTGGCCTTTTCCTTTTCTGTATTTGGAAGGTACAAGAATCCAATGGTGAGTTTTAAAATGCTGGCCCTGTTTATCAAATTAGCCAAGTTATTGAGTCCCCACTGTGTGTATTCTTCAACTCACGGTGAGCAGAAGCCAACTATAGTCACTGGCTTTAACTAATTTAGAATCGACACTTTACAATGACTATTTGATAGTCGGCCCTGTTTTATATCCAACCTCACATACCTCTCCATCCGTTCTTGTGTGGATTTATAATCAGTTGTAGGGAGAGTAACGTGGCTTGTAGAACTAGTCGATACATTCACTGTCATTTATTTAACAGGAAAACAAAGGCTAGAACTCTCCTCACCCAGTGACCTCTAATGCTTTTAATCCATTCTCAAGCCTCAGAAATCTTAAATTCAGTCAATGAACACGTCGATCCAAGGGAAAGTTACGGAGTTTTGGTAGCAGTGGGTCTTTTGTTGCTGTTGTTCTGTTCAGAAAGAAATAGAAAGGTCGTCTTGTGACTGCCATAGGCTCCCATAGTCAATGGCCGTGCTCCTTCACTCCTTCAAGACACCATCTCATCAGCCCCTCAAAAGTCAAAGGATCTTGTTGTCCTCAGACTTCAGTCTCACATTCGCCAGTGTGGCCTTCCATATGCACAGCTCTGGCTTCACACAGCTCACAAGTAGACCCTCCAGCCAAATGAGTCACTGGGCCCTGGCTTCACTCAGGCCCGCTGTGGTCATCCTCCTCTCCTGACAGCTGAATTCTGTCAGGAGGACAATAAATTGCAGCAGCCAATTCTATGTAATTGCGCATCCACAGCTCATCAGAGGCAGAGACCCTGGTGCTCACGGCAGCCAAAGAGCTCGGACCTCCTGGCTGTCACCAGCTGCTGCCCAGACACATTTAGCTTCCCAGCCAGGGTATCCCCTAAGGAGTAGGGAGGCTGAGGAGGTGTTTATCTGTTCAGTGTATTCAGATGTACATCCCAGGTCCATGAAAATTCATGTGTCTCATGTATTGTGAAATGTAACCTCCAGGCCAAATTTAGTCCCTGACTGTGGATGCAGAAGCCTGGGTACTCTCAATGAGGAAGGGCCCACATCCTCTCCAAAGGCTGAACTGAATCCTTCGACATAGGCGATTCTGCTTCCTGTGTTGACTCCCATTGGTTGCCATTTGAAATTAACGTGCATTTCATTAATAAGGAATCGCTCTGCAGACGTAAGAGCATTATGCTGTGCAAACTGCCTTGTTGAACTTGTCTGCTTTTTGCAAAGGATGTTGTTGGAACCGGGAGGACCATGAAAGCCCTACTCAGCAGCATTGAGAAATACAAACCCAACATGGTGAAGGTAGCCAGGTGAGTCAGACACCACAGCACCATCCTCTGTCCTCCAAAACAAGACCAAGAGGGACCCCTCTCACAGAGCACTGTTCCCAGCCATTGGCCCTGTGCCTGGGGTGCTGTAGTTTGACCACCCTGACAAAGAACTCGCCTGAGAGAGAAAGGGGAGAGGAAGGCCCTTGACAGGGGCCCTGCTTGCTCCACACGCTTCCATGAGCAGCCAGGCGATCCCTGGGCGGTCGCTCAGCATGCTTCCTTCTATCCAGCATGGCCATGCCAGCCTTGAGCAGCAAAGGCAGGAGGTAAAGTAGGCCGTGGTGATGATGTCACTCCACAGGCTTGAGGAGGAGTGCAGAGCCCAAAGGTGTTTAATTTTCTTTGCAAATTCGCATCCCAATTTACTGGAGTAATTTTCTTTTTGTAATGGCAGTTTACTGGTGAAGAGGACAGCCAGAAGTGACAGCTTTAGACCTGACTGTAAGTGTTGCAGGGTTTGGGGGTGGGAGGGTTTCCTGGTGATGGTGTTTCACGCAGGACTGATAATCCTACAAATTCTTCACCTCCACCACCCTGTGAAGGAGGCTGCAGCTCTTTGAGAAACTGCTGCTTTATGTTTGTGTTTTTCACAACAACTCCATTCTATATATTGGATTTGTCTGCTTTTGTTTTGCTGTAGTTTCGAGAACCTCACTGGTATGTGATTCAGTCCAGGCTTCTATGCAACTCAGCTATGTAGCCCAGGCTGGCCACAAACAGGCATCTACCCTCTTGTCTCGGCCTGCAGAGTGCTGGGATTACAGGTGTGCACCACACCTCGGTGCATTGGAGGCTTCTTCTGTTACAGGTTATGCAGTTCATCAGTTTTGGGGTGAAGATAGACTTTCTCCCCTAGACTGATTCAGATAGTCAGGATCCCTGATTGACAGCTATTTTCACCAATCAAAAGCCACTACAAAGCTTTAGAAGGCTTCTCCCACCCCTTTCCAGACCCTGCTCATTTGTGGCATCTCCCTGCTACCTCCAACAAAAATTGAGGAACCCGGAACAAGGCATCTTCATACTTGAGTTCAGAAATGTGCTCTGGGAAACTTTCTTTGTCTGGTGCACTTTTCTCTCCTCCGTACAACAAGATTGACTCTGTTATCAGGAGGATTAAACAAGCCACTGATTTATTTATTATTCTAAACAAGAGGTGATTTTTTTTTTTACTTGTATAAGGCAGACTTCAGCTAAAATGTCTCACTTACATTTGCTCTAAAGCCCGTAGGATAATTTGGCTCAAATTCTCATCAGCAAGCTGAAAAAACATTAGGCAGAGAAGAATAGTATGGATAGGCCAGGCTCTCTTCATTCTAAACACAGGTCTCCTCTGCTGGGCTCCTAACCACACACCAGGTCACTTCTGGACACATAGAGAAAGCCAATGGCCTGTTCCTGTCAGTTACTGGCCTTGGGAACTGGTCTGTATGTCACCGACATTATATGAGGATATTAAGCAGAAATTTTGTGAGGAAATTATATTAAATGATGCTAAAAAGATAGGACTGAAGACACGACCCAGTGGTTAAAAACATGCTGCTTTTACAGGGGATCCAAGTTCTACACCCAACATCTACATGAGATAACTTGCAGCTACCAGTCACTCCATCTTCCTGGGGATGTGATGTGTCTGGCCTCCACAGTCACTTGCACACGCATGCACACGTGCCCACACACATTTTTAAATAATACCAGCTAACACTGTAAGAGGCTACGATGGGCCAGGCAAGGATCTTACAGGCAGGCACACAGGGGTAGGGGTTAATTAATTTAGTCTCTACAACTGGTTAGAGGCAGTTGCTATTGTTATGCCCATTTAGCATATGAAGAAATGGAACACAACAAGCTTAAAGAGATGCCAGGGTCATATAAGCAAATGAAGAGGGCCAGTAATGAGCCTAGGCAGTGACAACGTTTACAAACACTGCAGGAGCAGGGGGGGGGGCGGCCTTTAATCCCAGCACTTGGGAGGCAGAGACAGGTGAATTTCTGAGTTCGAGGCCAGCCTGGTCTACAGAGTGAGTTCCAGGACAGCCAGGGCTACACAGAGAGACCCTGTCTCAGAAAAAAAAAAAAAAAAAGACACTGCAGGAGTTGCAGTGAGTGGTGGGTGACTCTGATGCATGACAGCTCCAATGATTGTCAATACCTTATGTCACAGCAGTCTTCTACATGGCTTTGGGTTTCAGTTTGCACAGTCTGAATCGTCACACCTGTTGTAGGAATTATTATTAATGTAGGATTTCTTGGAATCTAACCCTGTTCTGTTAGCGCAGAATCTGTTTCTCCCTTCTTTCTGGAGTGCCAAGATAGCATTTTTGAGCGGTTCAGACTTTGTTACATGCTCAAATGCTAATGTCATTTCTTCTGCACTTGCTTCTCCTCTTTGAATTTGTTTCTCTTTGCTTAGACAGGAACCTCTGTGTAGCCCAGGCTAGCATCAAGCTTAAAAGCCTGCTGCCTCAGGTTCCCAGATACTGAGATTACAGGCATGCACTACTATCCACAGCTCCTCTTGAATTACTTTTCAAGAAACAGCAAGTTTAGGGAATCAAACAGGCTACTTAGTGACTTCACAATACAGGCCCCTAGAAAACTGACCCATGACTTTCTGTAAGTCTAAGATACTCCATGTGAAAACATATTGGGTCATGGAAATCAAAATGATGGGCCGGGCAGTGATGGCACATACCTTTAATTCCAGCACTGGGAAGGTAGAGGCAGGCAGATCTCTGAGTTCAAGATTAGCCTGGATTACAGAGGGAGTTAAGCCAAGAACTATGTAGAGAAACACTGTCTCAGGAAAAAAACAAAAGAAAACACCAAAGCTGGGCGGTGGTGGCACATGCCTTTAATCCCAGCACTTGGGAGGCAGAGGCAGGCGGATTTCTAAGTTCGAGGCCAGCCTGGTCTACAGAGTGAGTTCCAGGACAGCCAGGGCTACACAGAGAAACCCTGTCTCGAAAAACCAAAAAAAAAAAAAAACAAACACCAAAAACAAAACCTGGTAGTAACCGTGAAGATGGCTCCTAGCTCACAGGCTATCCCAAGGGCAGGTTCATGTAACTAAGCATACACATCTCTCTTCTATTGAATTGTAATAAATGAGCTTACGAGAGTCCCACACACTGAAGCAAGTTTGAAAACCACCGGACCACACATATCTATTCTGCCTGAAGATCTCTGGAAGAGAACCATTGTGTGTTTCTTGATAGACATCATCTGCCTTGCAGTGGTCTTCTCACTGTAAGCTCACTGTGAGCCCAAGTACCTTGTTCTGTATTTGCGTCCATTTCCTCTCATTCTGCCCTCATTAGAGATAAAGTACTCTTAGGACCCCAGCTTTGTCAATGGAGAGATCTGCACGGAGATAACCCTCACCTGGTCCCTCCTCACGCTGAACAAGCTCCTTTCCTGTCATCCTGTCCCTCAGGTTTTGCTTTCCAGTCCTTCAACCAGCTGAAGGCAGTGACACCCTGGGGGAATTGCTTCCTGGTAGCTGCTGCCAGAACACCTGATTATGTATGGCCATGCCATGGTGCTTTTGTATTCGAATGGTCCTTTGTGCTCTTAAGAGAATCTCCTTAGGCATTGTGACATTACATACTGCTCCCTTTGAACAAGCCCACTGTGGCTAGCTTCCACACTTTGTCACTCACTGGGCCTCCTGAGCTCTTCCTCAAACCTGAACTCTTGGGTTCCATTCCTCACACATGCTTGCTTGTTCACCTTGTGTCCCCAAGCTGTCACTGTCGTCCAGGCACCCGCTGGGCTTGTCCTGCATACTGCTTCTCTCTTCTCTTCTGCCTCACTGTTTAAGTGCCGCAGCAGGATATGGCGAGGGCATGCTTACATGCTCACTCTAAACTTTCTTCCTTGTCTCTTTCCGGTAAGATGCTGGATTTGAGATCCCAGATATCTTTGTGGTCGGCTATGCCTTAGACTACAATGAGTACTTCCGAGACCTTAACGTAAGTGTTGCAGACTAAACCCTAATCCTCTTTGCCTAAGAATGCTTAATACTAGCGTCAATTTAACAAAGTACTAAAAACAGTAGTAAGATGGTCAGGCACAGCTTGTGACTGCCAGTGAATGCTACCTGCAGGTCGGATACCAGAACCAAGGAGACAAGTGATCAGAATGGGGAAGCAGAACAATGGCCTACACGGATTTTTCTTCATAGTTATTGACAATGTCCAGCCAATCACCACAAACAGCTAATATTCTATCAGCCATTTCATGTCTGTGTCTGATATCGGGCTGCTGTGCCATTTCATGTCCCTGTCTGATAACAGACCACTGGGATTATAGTGACATTGTAAGAGTTAATTTGGAGAAGCTGCCTCAGCACACAGAAACAGCCCTCCAGCGTGGTACCCAATGAAGTGACCCTGATGGACCCTAAGTGATCTGGAGGAAGCATCTCACCCAAAGTAACCAACCAGTGTCTCACTATTAGAAATTAGAAAGCCAGCCAGGTAGTGGTGATGCATGCTTTTAAGCCCAGCATACAGGAGACAGAGGCAGGTGTATTTCTGTGAGTTTAAGGCCAACCTGATCTACAGAGGGAGTTCCAGGACAGCTAAAGCTACACAGAGAAACCCTGTCTCAAAACAAACAAGCAAACAAGCAAAAATGAAAAGGAAAGGAAAGGAAAGGAAAGGAAAGGAAAGGAAAGGAAAGGAA